AGTCCCAGTAGTGGAAACTTTGTGGAAAATATGTAAAAACAATGCATGCTCTTTTTAATTTTGCTAAATCGCTGCAAACCAATATTTGCGCACGTTCTCCAAAAAGCAGCTTTTTTGTCGGAACCGTGGAGCACAGCCTCTATTTGTCATCATTCTTGATAAGGCATTGTAAATCTTATTTCCTTTATTTGCTGTGCCGCTTGAATTTTGGTTTGGAGTCCAATATCCCTCCTAAATACTTCAACTGTGGATGTGAAGTAATCGCACACTCTCCGATTGTGAGAGTTATTTTTTCCTCAATTTTCCTGATGCTTATGTGCTCATGGCTCTTCCTCTGTCTTGGGCTCAGCCAGTTCCAAAGTCATGGAAGAAAACTATTGGCACAGATCATTTATGTACTCAGCGCTAGAAACCGGGGCGTGCGTCGGAAATAATACCTCGACGATCTTTTCCGTATTTGGGTTGCTGCCACTTATTTTTGAATGCGGACATACAGATTTTATAAGAAGTTCGCCAGAGGACTTTCCTCTGAATGAATAGACACCTGAAAAAATCTTACCGTGCTGGCTATAAGCATATAAATATAAAGTATAAGCAGCTCTAAAAAAAGATAACAAAGACAAAGAAACCATAGTTACCCAAGACCAACTTACAATTCTATTCAACAAAGAAATTTCCCCTAACAAATTTAAAGAAGGAGGAGCAGCCATATTACAAGCTCTTAACAAAAATCATCACAAAGTTATAGAAGGCATAAAATTCAATAAACCCTTGTTAATTAGTAATCTCCGGCTTCTTATGGCCTTTGAATGCTCCTTTGAGTCGATTTTATTTTTCGGCACTTTGATTGAGTTGTAGGCGACGTCGGGATGAGTGACAGAGCTTCCTCAGCGTGGCAATTTCTTCATTACACCTGTATACAGGTCTTCGCATTATTGTGAGATTTCGTCCTTCGCATTGTAGCGTTACAGGCTGCCACCAGTCCTCATCATATAACTACCGAATAAACTGAACGATCGAAATCAATTTCTTATAAGGAATACATTGTATTTGTGCTACAATACCCGGCTTCAGTGCAACCGAAATTGCCGTTCACATTGAAAAAAAAAAAAAATTGTACAAGTATGTAATAACAAGGTTCTAGTAAAACTTATATTTATATATATCATCAAAAGTGAAAGTAAAAAAGTCCTCAATTTTTTGTGCACTTTTGTGATTAAAATCTGTGAATTCAAATCCTTACAAAGAAATGGTTGTCAACTTGCAAAAAATGTTGCCTACATTTGGGCTAACCTTGAGCCAATGTTAATTAAGGCTTCGTTATTATCGAAACAAATGGTGCTAAATTAAAATTGTCGTTTTTTGTAGTTCACAAATGAAAAATATCAAATATTAAAAATAATATTGTCTACATTTAGGGTCAGTTGTACAAATTTGTTTGCTTCAGCCACGTATTTTTCTATGAGACATAACGAAATGGTTTGATATGATAGAATTTTATTACACAAAATAATTTTGAAAATAAATATTTATATTTAATAAAAACATAACAGTCTGACATTTATATTTATTTATTAAGGTAATTATTAATACCTTAAATTCATTTAGATTGACGTGCTTTAAAAGTTCACGACCTCAAATATGTTTCGTTCTTATTTATTTTGAGTTACCTTGGCGATATAAAGTAAATACAGGAAAATAAATACAAAAGCAGCGAGTATGTGTGTGTATAGTGCATATATGTATGTGCACACTTATTTAGGCTAAGACGAATGTTAGGCATTTGACTTCTGTAAGGACGAAAATAGTAGAAGTTAGCCAAATAACTACAATGCTGCCCCAAAAATTGAAATAGCGGAGCAGCATTGAGCAAACGCAGAGCAGAAACCGTTTTGACAGTTTGAAATTGAATACGAGTATAACGGTAAGCGGCGGTAAACGCGGTAAGCAGCTAACAACTAAGCACATAGCAACAGAGCCAAGTAGTTAGTCTCAAGCCATGCACACACACATATATACATAGTTGTACCTGCCAGCGTGGAAAATCGTTACGCGCCATTTGTCTGAATAAATCGCTTCAAATTCCACTTCCAAGGGCCACCGAGCGAACAATGGTTTCCTTTCACTTTCTACAGTGTGTCTTGCGGCATGCGTCGTGCGTATTCATGAGATACACGTATTTGTGAGCTCAAACAACAAATCGTGTGTCACAAAGAGTTGTAACAAATATGACATTGTAATCTATTAAATGTGTGTCGGCACACGCACACATGTAGAGTAGGTTGAAAGAAACATATGTGCTGGGTGGGGTGCTGGTTGCTGGGGTGACTGCAGGGAGTGCGCGTGCAACAGCCATATTGATGTCGTGTTACGCCGTTAGACGAGCTTGACTAGCTGCACGAGAGTGGAAGTGGGTACATGACGGCAGCAGAAACAAACTCACAGACGGAGTTCGGGGGCAGAGTGAGTAAGTGTCGGTGAGTGCAATACCGGCAACGGAAGCGGAAGTATAAAACGTGGACTATAAATTTAAGTGCTCCACGTCCTGCGACCCATGTGAGTCGGGCGCAGGGAATTGAGGAAAGAAAACGCAGAAGAGAAATGTACTCAGCAGACGCAGCGGTGGTGGCGGTCGCGGCAGCGGTGACTGCTTCGTTGAGGATGATGATAAAACGCTTGCAGTTGCAACAGTCTGTGCCCCAGCCGAGTTAAGCGTGCTGCACAGCCCCACAATCACCTGTAACCGGCAGTAGATAACTGCGTACATATACTGGCGTACTAATACATACATGCACTCATGTACCATATAGTAAGACATATATATGTATAGAAATGTGTCTTTGCCTTTGCTGGCTCATGCAGCTCATGCCAGCCCATCGCAGTGAATTATGGTCTGAAAGTGAAAGTTATTACCATCCAACAACCGAGCAGGTGACCCACGAACGATGCACACAAAAACGAATGCAAAAACTCTTCCGTATAGAGTGAAAGCAACAGCATTATTAAAAAGCGCGTATACGCCATGGTGCACACCTTCGACTGCCATCTGTATGTGTGTGTATATACGAGCGCTTGCATTTCTTTTTTTTTTTTTTGTGGTTGGCGAGTACATGTGCCAAGCATGAGTTTGCTTGTTTTCTTGTTAATAGGTCAATGCGACCGCAGCGTTTTTGTGGCAGCTGCAACGCAGTAAACAAATATAAACAAAAGCACCACGAATAACGGAATAACTTAAATGGCATTAGTATGTGCATGAAATGCGCATAAAGCGAAGATGTAGTAAAAGTTGTCCGAAACTACTGATACTCATTTCAGTGAAAGTTAAACTAAAATATGAGATAGCTCCCTAAACCAGAAATTTTATGAATTGTTTTGAAAAATAATGATAGCTAATAATATAATATACAATATATATATAATATAATAATTAAGAAATAGTGAACATAGATAGACAGATAGTCTTAGAAAATCTTAATTATTGTCTATTTATATAAGGATTAGGACGTTATAATTGGTGTTCGACAACGTACGCTTTTCCCTGGTAATGGAATCGTTTGATTCTTGACAATGTAGGAAGGCTTTAAATTTACCACATGGTCATTGTTGCTTTAGGCTGCAAGGAGCAGCTGTAAGATCGTCTCAGCATATTCTTCTCAACTGCCTCACTTTGCGAAGCTAAAGTTTAAGCACATTGCTTTTCAATCCTCTGTGCAGCCAGAGAAAGTATATGTTGCGAATTATGCGCTCAGGTCCTTTCGTCAATTGAATTTCTACTTGATTTCTACACAGAAAGGTTTTTGTGCTCATAATAATGAAATGTGCAAAAATCACTAATTTTTTCTGGAGATATTTTCCACCAAGATTCAGTATAGTGGCTTTGTTCGTCCGTCACTCCGTCTGTACCATGTCAATTGAAAAGCCTGAGGCATAGATGATGCTACTAGAATTAAATTCATATGGTATTCAGTTAGCTTTAAATTTCAAAAGGTGCGAGCATAAATTTGAAAGCTGTTGGCTTATTAGTTAGTCAATTATATCAGTTTGAGTGAAGTAGCTTTTATTTCTGTGAAAAAATTGATCAAAAAAAATGTCACAAAGCATTGATTGAGAAAGCAGGCACTCTAAAGAGATGTCAACTGAACACGTACATACATATATCATATCATTCACGAATATTTAGATATGAGAAAGCTCTGTGCAAATTGTGTGCCGCGCGAGTTCGTTTTTGACTAAAACCAACGACGAGTTGATGACTCGGAACAGTATTTGGAGACGTTGAAGCGTAAAAAAAAACCAACACTTTGCGTCGATGTGTGACAATGGATGAAACATGGCTCTATGATTTATTTCCGAAGTCCAACCTCCAGTCAGCCGAGTGGACTGCATATGATGAACACACACCAAAATTCGGAAAACGCAACAATCGGCTAACAAAGTTATAGTGTCTGTATTTTGGATGCGCCTGGAATCTTGTCGACTATCAAAAAAAAGCACCATTACATATAACATTTGAAGAAATGGAAAGTACTGTTCCAGCAAACAATGCTCCTTGTCACAAGTTATTGAAAATGGTGGAAAAAGCCGATGAATTGAGCATCGGATTGCTTCTGCATTCACCGTATTCTCTAGATCTGGCCTCCAGCGACACTTTCCAGTTCTCAGTTCTCAAAAGAAAGCTCGCTGGAAAGAAATGTTCGTCAAATGAAGAGGTGATCGTCGAAACTGAGGCAAATGACAAATCGCACTACAAAAATACTATTGAAAAGTTGGAAGGTCGCTATAATCAGTGTCAGGGTTATGTTGACTAAAAAAACCAATTTTTACCAAAAAAATGTGTTTTACTATGAAAGGCTGGAGACTCTTTCATTGATTTGTTATATACGGGAAGCAGTCCTTCAGTTTTTCAGCTATCAATCTATAATTTTGCACACAGATTTTTCTCTTCAAGAAGCTGTCAATATCGGAAATCTATAACATATTTTTGTTATCTGACGAGGTATCTTCACTAAAGTTGCCGCACAGCCAGCGCAAGGCTCGAATCTCCAAAGATATGGTTTTGATCGAATCAACATAACATAAAACTACCTTACAAACGGTCATCAAAGAGATCGGAGTTATGATAAAGGTCTTGTTATACCATTCTATTAATGGTAAATTGATCTCATTATATTATTAAGTCTATAGGTTATACTATATAATACATCATGCGTCTCAGTGCCTTATTTCTTTAAATTTTCTCATTTAATATTTCTAATTTTACAGGTTCTCTTAACACTCTCAAAGATGTGAGTTGCAAAATAGTTAAGCAGAGTGAGGTTGCAGTGAAAACTGAAACGAATACAACAACACAGCGTAATTAGTGCAAGTGGAAAGACTGGAAGCTGCCGAAAATGCTTGCGACTAGAGAATCCTTAATTAATTTCCGTGTCACCACCACCTCTTAAATGTACGCTAATAAGCCCAAAAAATGCGTTTTCCATTGCGACGCAACGCGAATGTCCTAGACACGCTCCTCACCGAGACTCTACAAATATTGGTGGTGTTCAGCATAATGGGTTGGCCATTTAGTGGCATGCAACAGTGCGAAACCAAGGGCATGAGTGCGGAACGTGTACAACACCAACAGCAACAACTAGAATTACATTACCTGCACCATCTCCACTTCCCACAACAACAGCAACAGCAAATACATAAGCTAGCGCCGCACACACTCCAACAACTCCAACAACGCAACACACAAACCATTGGTGGTGAACCTTCGCCGGGATTAGCATACCGACACGACAAAATGGAATTAATGACCACAACTGTATCTCCTGCTAGAGTCTCCTCTCAAACAGCATCCTCGTCGTTGGCCTCGCCATCATGGTCATCATACTCGTCGGCGTCATCATCATCACCATCATCAGTAGACACGCGTGACATGCACTTTGCTAGCCCTATAATTACAAAAAATTATCAACACAATAGGGCGTCCACAGGCGCTGCCGACGGCGACGCGGCGTATGCGCAACCCGTCACAACGATCACATTAACGACTAACGAAGCCACTGCTCGTTCCACTGCCACCGCTCCGAGGATGAGTGTTAGCGCTGCAACTGGTGTGGGAGCTGAGCCTACGGACATGCGAAATTACCCAGCGCGAGCCTCCGTGTGGGCCCTGCACGCGCTGCATCGGGTTTCAAAGGACACGCAACATAACGGCGTTTACGCACAGCTTCCGCCTGTCAATAGTGACAGCGCCAACGGTGAGTAGCTGCTCGTTAAACACAATTTTCTTTTATTTTTTGTTGCCGAGTTTTTGTTGTTATATCTCGCTTTGGCCAGGCCTTCAGCCGGCGACCACTAATCACTCACATATTTCACGCTGAACTTAAGGAGGCAGTGCGCATGGACCGATGCGAGACATTTGCTTGAGATTGAGTAGAGGCACTAACTAACACGTGTGTCCTTAGGTCTTGCGTGCTTTGTTAGCGCTTTCTACTTATATCTGTTTGCCCTATAATTCCTTAGTTGAATGTCATTTTGAAAAATTATCTGATTCAGCTATGAGAATAACCTCCGCAATTGCACGAAATGATGATAAAAAATGAAATTGAGTTTTAAACGCCCACAAATGGTGGATGACATAAAATTTCATAAGCGAAATGTGTGAGCATATTTCCGAGAAGCCGGGTCTTTAATTAAAATGCAGCATATTCAAAGCGCCAATATTGAGCTTCACTTGCCAATTAGCGATAATTGCATAGCAGGCATCATCGGGAATGAAACTCAGGGTTGTTGATTATAGACGCTATTTGTGCTTAAATATATTTTTAGAAGAAATCTGATTTTTAGAAGAATGCTGGCGCTGGCGATAAAGTGCTTAGAAGATATGATGTACATATGTGGAAGGTTATGTGCACTCAAAATTCATATAATCAATTGTCCGATTATGGAATTGAATATTTATAATTTAGGTTTTGGTTTGGTTTCATAAATAAGTTTTCCATGTTTTCACAAATACCATGTTATTCAACAACGCTCATAATAAAAAACACAGTTTTATTCTTCAAAATACACTTTATTATTCAATATAATCTCCCTGAATACTCTCGCTTGCTCTTCATTTGATGAAAAACGCTTGCCACGCACAAATTTTTGAGTTCTGGAAATAAATGGAAATCGCTGTGGGCCAAATCTTGTGAATACGGTGGATGCTTCAACAATGCGAACTTTAAATCATGAATTTTAGCAATTGTCAAAATGCTCTTGTGACACGGTGCATTGTCCTGATGGCAAAGGATTTTTTCTTCTGCAAACCGGGTCGTTTTTGACGATTTTTTTCCTTCAACTATTCCAAAAGGTTGCAATAATATTCAGAATTAATTAATTTATCACTTAGTAAGTAATCCACACACAAAATTATTCTCGAACGGATGCCATAACCTTCTTGGCCGATTTCCGGACACGAACTCGTTTCGAATTCGAACAACCAGGTCCGCACTACTTCTTAGTCTCTCGTTTAATTCAGAAGCATGATGATAGACCCAAGTCTCATTCATAGTGATGAATCGACGCACAAAATCCACTTTGTCCTTTTTGAAACGCTCCAAATATTGCTGAGAAAGTCGCATTCAAATGTGTTTTTGTTCCATGCGGCATTGCGGCACCCATTATGCACACAGCTTTCTAAAACCTAAAAGTTCACTTAAAATATGGCTCACACTGCTTAATGAGATGTGTAGAGCCTCTAATAAATCTCTTTCAGTCAATCTATGATCTAATTATGACCAGATATGATTTGTTTCATTGTAAGATCATGTCGCTCTTGTTGCTCCCTTATTTTAAGAATACTTAATAAAATTTTGGAAGAAAAATTTAAATATTTTTAGAGTCACGCGATCTCCAGCAGCGCTAAAACGGATCCTTAACTGCTGCTGATGAAACCGAAAACAAATCTCTTTTAGAGTATGTTGCCCGTTCAATGATTATACGATGAAGAAATTGACAAAATTACGGCTTTCGAAAATATAAAAATTTACACACAATTTTTGCCGATTTTGGGCTGCCAAAATCTGATTTTTCACCACTGATAAGTCGTTGTAGGAAACTATATACAGCACATATAGAAAAATATAGTGATGAACGAGTAAACAACCAAGTAAATTTAATAAATATAGTTTTGAGAAAAACTATAAGAATAAACCGGCTGCCACTCACATACCATCTGCATGGTAAATTACAATTTTTCACTTAAGTAAATTACAACTTGTCGAAATATGAAAAAAGAAATTCGATTAAATTGAATTTCATAATTGAGAGAACTCACAACATTTGAGACCTGCTTCAAAGATGAGCGGAGGTCGGAATACTTTCTTTATGCCAATCGCTCACTCTCAAAGACGTCTTAACCACCATTTACAAGTATTTAACTATGCTAGAAGAGGAACATCTGTGGTCATCCAGTTTCCATTAACTCCAATCAAAATTTAGGTGCACAAAATGCTGAAAACTGCTAGCGTTTGAGTAAAGTCGAGTTCAACTCTCCGAGTAATGCGATTGACCGATATGCTATAACCGAATTAAAACACAGACACACATGCACGCACACTACATACATACAATTAAAAGCTTACGTGCAATTACATATTTATGAAGTTAACTCTTAATTCAGTCTTGACCAATTCCTTTTGATTCAATTAAGAGCAGACCCCGCAATGCAACGGCGACCTCTTCATTTACTTAGTCACTGAGACGGGGCTGAAGAATCCTGTGGTTGAAACTTACTTGTAAAAGTTTTTGCCAATGTTAGCATGCTTTAGGTGATTTACTTATTGCCGTTGAACAAACATTGGAAATTTTATGTGCGAGCATGTAAGCCGACGACTACTCATGGAAGTTCGAAGCAAAACTTTTTCCGGCTAAATCGTAAGTGGAAAAAACAAACATTTAACAGTTTTCAATTAACTTTTGTGGAAATTGAATTGATTGGTGGGCTGTAGAGGTTCAGTGGGGCGGTAGGAGCGAAGATCCCAAATATGGTGATATTGGTGTTTGTTGGTTGTTGTTGTTGTTGTACAGCTTCAACTTTCTTATTTGAGTTTAAAGGGGTGTGAAATTAGTAAAGGAAGAGCTTGTTGACATTATTTGAAAACGGGAAATGTGTCAACAACTCAACGCTCACGCAAAAGCCGTGAGGGTTGGACGTCTTTACGATCGTCAAATATTTTGCACTTACATATATACAAACAGTATATTTATGAGTGCTTTTCGCAATTAACCGACATTTATTCATTGGTAAGAAAGCACACATTAGGATGGGTCGAAAGTGAAGGAAAAAAAAACTTTCAGCTAGTGGGAAATGAGGAAAGGCTTAAAGATTGAGTGTAAAATGTTTTTAAGCGAGTAAAAGCTTACTTTTGAAAATTATTTAAACAGAAGCTTAAAAAATGAAGGGATGTATTTTGTATAATAATATTAATGTAGCCGGAAAACGTTTCTCTTCCGAAATTGTACTTAAAAACTACATGGGATTAGAAACAATTTGAGGCATGATTTTAAATACTCGTACTTTCATTGAAATAATTTAATAACTGAAACTTCTTCGAAAATTTCTTAAAGATATTTTTCAAAAGATGGTTCTAGCGAACCAAGTGATCAAATTTGATCCGGACTGGTCCTTGTAAAAGGCCCTGAGTACCCTACATTCACCAAAGAAATCAAATTTGATGACGAGACGTTCGTTTAACAATATAACATCAAAACTGACTGTCGAATGGTGTTCTAAAAATGAGTCGCAACTGAAAAAACCAAAATTCGTTGTAGACACTGAAGGCCACATAACAAGCTTGTATTGACTCAACAGCCTCGTTTGAGGGCATTAATAAATATTTGTGTTAATAGATGTGAAAATGTAGTTTTATTCATCAGTCCGGGTTAATTTGGATCAAAAGGTATAATAACAACTTATAACAAGCTTATATTGTCTTTGTGCTAATAGTCGTGAAAATGTAATTTTGTTCATCAATCCGGGTCAATTTTGATCAAATGGTATAATAACGATTTAAAGGTATCTATGAGAATGAAATTTTGTTATTCCTAAAATGTTTAAAAAATGTCTCTAAATATTTTCTTCTCAAAAAAGTCTTCTTAATTATATTTCCAATCTATCGATACAATTCACGGTGAGCTAAGTACCCAATTGCTCCACAAAGTCTTACTTCACGTAATTTAACATGCTTCTTCAAGTTTTAGATAAACGTGAAACTTTTTTATCCATGCGCAGAAACTTTGAAGGCCGCAAAAGAGCGTGAATAAGATCATAAAAAGTTGTACGTCCAAAGCTGCGCCACAATGACGAAAAGTTTAAATGCTATGCGGCGCCTGTAAGCCTTATTAATGCCTGCACACACATATGCTCCGACAAAAAAAAAAAAAAAAAAAAAAATACTTCCACATAAACGAATTACTAAATGCTGAGTGAAATGTGACACACACCTTTATACATGCACATGGATTACAAGGTACCCTGCTGGAAAGAAAGAACAAATAAAATATATTTTTCCAATTAAGAAAGAAATGAGAAGCTGTCGATTATCTTAAGGCAAGCTATCAGATGAAAAATATGTGTCAAAAACAAAAATATAATATTTTTAGTGACAAAATATCGAAAGTATGGCAACACTAATATGAAACTAGTAACTAGAACTATAAAGGAACAATATAATATATGAAAAAATTAAAAAAAAATATATATGAACAAAAGCCACCGAAAGAAACAGCGCACATTTTCTGATTTCCTACTGGACTTTCCACTGTAGTACTGTTAGCATCTTGCATTCATCCAATTTGGAACGAAATCAAGCTTTCGAAAACGAACAAACGTATGCCCTTCCACTCCGATTATCTCCTGCGCCAGCGACATTTAAATACTCCAAAAGTTTTCAGCCCAACTTCCGCTTCGTACTGTCTTGCGCCTCCGGCAGTGGCAACGTGCCACCGTCACCCAGCACACTTATCACTTTGTCATTGTCATATGCTGCTGCTGACACACACGCATATATGCAGATGCTGGCTTTGTGAGCAGCGCCGTATAAGTCGTATCCGAGCGACAACCGTTCGCAATTTTCCAGCGAGCATCGCTTCATTTATTCATATGGCCACTTAGCCGACATGCGTTTGCGTTTGCTGCGTCCATCACACCCATTATCTCATGCCTCATATTTCTGCCGCTTCCGCACACATATTTATTCATTGCTTCGCCATC